TGAGAACGGAAATATGTGTTTCCCTGGAATTGGCCGCTGACTTGGCTGTGTCCGTGGGAACTGTGGGAAGGTGTCTTGGGCTGATGGCGTAACTCCCGTTATGTTTTTGTTTTGTTTCTTAGGTTAGTCAACTGTTGTCTTAAAGTCTACTTCTCTGCTGGAGGGGCATGGAGCTAAGACAGCAGCGCTAAGTTTTAGTTGGGAAGTACCGAAGACATAACGCAGTAAGTTTTCAAATATATGAAGTTTGTAAATATTTTTAAAAATTTAGGAATTTTTTAAGCACGTCGGGCTGGATTGTCACTGAGTTTTAAGGATATATGAAAAGTATATTGACTCCAATGCAAAAACGTTTTAACAATTATGAAAGTACTTACATGGAATTGAAAACTAGAAATGTTTGGTATTTTCTAAGATTGTACTACACTATGTCTATATTTTTATATGTGGGCTTGAAAAGAAACCGCAATAAAGCATATCTCCGTGGTTGTTCGTTTTGATTTTCCATATCTAATCTGTATTTTTTTTTTGTTTGCCCGGCGGCTGGAGGAATAAAAATCTTCGCGAAGACACCCAGTGTTCCGAACCCTGGGTAGTGTTGGATTCTTACCAACTAAAAAACCCCCTTTTTGGTACTACGAGTTTTCGGGAGTTATCCTTTAAAACTTGTAGTCCTCTCTAAGAATTTGCCAGCTCCGGCATCCGTATGCCATAGCATCGCATCTATCTAATCTACGGTTAAATGAAAGCCACATAAGAAGGTATATGACCCACATTGAGGGAAATTCATTTGATTGCCGTTCTACTTTGGACTAGCAACAGTTTGCTGTTCCAACTAACACAATTATCCATATAATCCGAGAAACGTTTCAAAATATTTAAAAAATCAGTACGTAATTATTATTAGCAATCAGAGTTTACTGGGAAACAGTACGTTTCTGCATTTTTACTGATTTTTTTGTTCATTTTGTATCTGATATTCAGCCAATAGTATAAAATACATTATAAGATAATTTGAAGAATTTAATGAAACTTGGTTCACTAAAAAAAAATTCGAATTTTTAAATCGACTCATAATTTCAAGCGCTGTGAAAATCATATAAGCGTTTACAATAAATGAACATAATTGTTTTTTTTTTTTTAGATTTAAAATATTTACACTATATAAATTATAAATATAAATACAGACATGTGCAACGTTGCGAAATTATAGACCGCCCGCTCACACAAAAGAAGAGAACTTCAAAGCGTTGATAACTTAGACAAGGAAAGAGAGTCTCTTTCCTTGTCTAAGGTTGATAACATCAGCCCTCAAACAAGTTGTTTTTAATTATTTGAAATAACGTTTGGAACTTCAAATAGTAAACATTGGAATTCCGGAACTATTTTTTTGTGATATATCATAGCCAATGTGAGTTTCTAGCAATGCCAAACCCAACTGCATTATCGTCCGATTTTTCTACATTAAATAGTCTAAATGTTGATTTGAAAAAGATGTCCGAAGAACTGAAACAAGCCATTTACAATTAAATGTGAAGAAAGCATTGGTGTGTGAGTATCAGCATTAAATTGGCACAACTCGAAGTGATATCGCCAAACAGATCAAGGAGATTCAATTAAAAATACTGAGTGCTGAAGGAGAAATAAATAATACGAGCATAATTCAGTCCCAAGAGATTGAGGCTTTGGAATCGCAGCTTAAGCAAAAAACGGAAATTGCAATCACACTAAAGCGTGAAATCGATATTCTAGAAAGAAACAATAAGCTGGAGGTAGATTGCAATGCCTCCCCCGACATCAACGTAGATAACCTATCCGCACAGAATGAAGCATTAAAAGCTAGTTATGTAAGTTTGCAACAAGAGCTATAGTTGTTACATGACCAGCATGCCCAAGCTTTAGAAGGACTGCAAAACAACCAGAAATTACTAGAAGAATTCACTGAAAGTACTGAATTAAAAAAAGTGGAGCTTCAAGAGAAGGAAACTGAGATTAGCGCCCTCAGCGAACAGCTTTGTGCAGCCAAGGAACAGCTGAAAGCCTATAACAGTGTTCCCTTATCAGAACATAGCAAAGGAAACTCGTTATTTGCCCAGGTTCATGACAGATGCATGCTGCTAGAGGAAAATGTCGAACAAATGAAGCTCAAATATAAGCATGGGGAGCAGGAACTTAAAAGGCAGGAAAGAACGATCCTGACTTTGCATAAAGATAACAACCGGTTAAGGGCAACATGGAAAACTGATTTGCAACAAAAGGAATGCGCATTAAAATTCGCGGGTGAATCCTCAATTGATGAACTGGCCGTGATGGAGAACCGCATGGAAGAACTGCAATTGCGACTGGCTGAAGGGGCCACCAAAGTTACCACTAAAGTCTACTTCTCCCAGGTCACCCTGCAGGAAAAATGCGAAATCTTCGAACTTGGAAAAAAAATGTCTGTGCAGTCCAAGGAAGTCTGTGGTCTAGCCGTAGATCCAGCCTCTGCCAAAAATGAAATGAGACTGCTCAACTTCAGAGCTTTAGAGTTGGCGCAACAAATTGAAGAAGCCAAGCAATAGGCGCTTTTATCCGCGGAATCTAATAAATGTCGTAGATATACTATGTTTCAAGTCAGAGACTAAGTTTAGATTAGGAATATGTATATTAAATTGCAATAGTTATTTTTTGTTTGATTTGCTAATAACTTAATAGATAAATAAATGCAATAGTTCTCTAATTATTTATTCTTGATATACGCACTGTAAAGAATGATTTATATCGCGACTTAAAACTGAAAAGTTCTTTAATCGGGTTAGTTAGATTAGTTTTCTAACAAAAAAACACTAACACAATTATATCGAAATCCTATGAAAACTAATGTTTGGTTGCCTACCCAAAACGATTGACAGCTGACAAGCCACGTGATTCGGATTTCCCAATTAAATATAGACAACCCTATATATTATGATCAACAAACCAAAATCAGATCTTCCATGCAAAACAATTGAGCATCCCATAAACGTCATTTTGATTTTTGTGTTTATGTGTGTGCAATTTTGGGGAAAGTTTTTCCATTTTTTTCTGGGTAAGTGCATTTTTACTCCAATTGATGTATGGTTGTTTTGTTTAAAATCTACTGCACTGACTTTGACGCAATTTTCATGCTCCAACTCGCTGTTGTTGTCCAATATTCGATTTTAATATTAAAATCATAGCTTGGCACTTAACCGCACTTATTAGTAATTGCCGTACTTGTTCGAGTTCATAAACTATTTCAAATAGAATCTAGTAAAACGGGATTTCGAGTAAATAGCAGAATTAAATTTAAAAAAAGGTTAGGTTTTCCTAACCCTATTTAGTATATTTTCAACCCGGAAGTAAATATTTTCGATTATTGCGTAAATAACCCTGTTTAATCCGCATCTGCATTTGTCTATCTTCGATTGGACAGACCGTCCATTTCCACAAATTTGCTACTCTGTACGCAGAATTGAGTCCGACACTGTACAAAAATGTCCGAATTCAGTAACCACTTTGCCCTTGAAGTTAGACGCAGACGCGCCATTTGCTAAAGCTAAACATTTTCCCGTCATGGCATTGGTAAGTCTCAACACCGTTTTTCCGACATAAAGTTGTTTTTTTCACATATTTGGAACAGAAAATCGCGGACCGCAGTTTTTCACGTAGGTGTGAACGCTTCTTGAGCCTGACATGTTGCAGCAAAACCCTATTTCTTCGTTTTGACCAT